CCATAGAAGTTCAGAAGTAAAAACATGTTAAAATAATGGAAATAATCTGATGTAGATTCTAAAAAGTAAAAAAAGGAGACATAGAGCGCCTGTAATAAAACACTCTGCTCCTTCACTTTATTTACTCATCTTAAAGGAGCCCAGTACTTCTGCAGCAGTTTACACAACCCTAAACACGCTACTCCTTTAACAGGGGTGGCTCTGCTCCCCTCTGATGTGATTCTGATATAACTGAGGCCCTCTGCTGGGCTGACTTCTGTAATGCGTGTAAGAAACGGAAGGAGAGATTGTACATAGTTTAAAGCAGGGATGACCAAACTCCGGCCCTCCAGCTGTGGTGAAACTACAAATCCCATGAAGCATCTCTCTCCGGGAGTCATGTCTGTGGCTGTGAGAATCTTGCAAAGCCTCATGGGATTCGTAGCTCCACCACAGCTAGAGGGCCGCAGTTTGGCTACCCCTGGTTTAAAGCGACAGAAAGTTGTATTCATTTATATAATACAAGGGGAAGCCAAACTCCAACCCTCCATCTGTGGTAAAACTACAAATCCCATGATGCATCTCTCTCCGGGAGTCATGTCTGTGGCTGTGAGAATCTTGCAATGCATCATGGGATTTGTAGCTCCACCACAGCTGGAGGGCCGCAGTTTGGCTACCCCTGGTTTAAAGTGACAGAAAGTTGAATTTGTTTATATAGTAGTACACTTTTTTCCCAGTGCTTTAAAGGGAACATTACCCATTCACAGAAGTTCCTCTCTCCTAACAAGTTCTATTATGTTCCCCTAACAAATAATCTATTGTTCCTACTACAGACAGACACCGGACAGGACCAATGTGGATGGAAGCACATAAACCTATTAGTATATTTTGGGGGAGGTAATCAGCACACCCAGACAAAGCGGAGCCAAAGACTCTGACACCAGGAAGAAATGTACAAAATATATTTTTAAATATGGAATTACGAAATATACTATTTAGATGCTATTTAAAACAAAAGGCAAAAACTACTTCAACTGCCATATTGCAATGTGTATGCTAACTAAAGTCTAAACATGTACCAAATCCAGTTACTATGTGATGCACAAGCCCCGTAAAGTAAACAGGGAACTTCCTTTACTTTCCCTGACTGAGCCAAATCCTCCTTCATGTGTTTCTCACACGCTCCCCCTCCCAGACACTGCAGCTCACAGTGGGAGGGTTTCAGCAACAGAAGCAGTGCTGTCAATCCAGAAAGCAGTGGGCGGGACTAGGTGTGTCCAGGTGCTGATTGACAAGCTACGGGCTTATGAGTCAGCAGTGACAATGCTGATGGCCACACCCCCTGCAACATTTTCTCATCCCAATGTAGTGCAAGCAGCCACAGCCTACATGAGAGTGGCAACTCTGCTCTGGATTCAGGAGCAGTGCAGCATCGTTGCCACCGCATCACAGGAAGCTGCATTAGGTGGACTGGCAGGATTAGCGGGTCTTTGTGGGACTTTTCAAGAGAAAGCTATAAGTGCAGATGCCCTTAGAATGAATTGCTGCAGCACATATTGTTTTAATGAGAGTTCTACTGTGTAAATAAAAATCATCCCAGCCCACTTTCTAGCCAGCAGGGCCATACATAACTCCTACCACGGCTGACACCTTGCACACCCCCTGCAGCCCCTAAAAATCTAGTGCCAGGCCTCCTGCGCTCTAAAGTCCCATAGACTTGAATAGGATGACCTGTATTGTGGGAGCAATGTCCCAATCATGGCTATGGAATGTTACAGCACAGGCGCGGCGGCTTCGCACTAGACTTTTACGAGCCGCACTGCAGAGAGTGCAGGAGACCGCAACCATCCATAGAGGTGAGTACGGACCTACTGGGGAAGGAAAAGGGGAATTGGGGGGCGACCCAGCTAAAAGTATTGAGGGGCTAGGATGTTTTTTTTTAAAGCTGAGCTTGTACTTTAAAGTGAAGCTCCAGGCAAACTGGAACCAGTCCCCACTGAAAACTAAAATTGGTTTAAATTACACATCAATAATGATGTGACAACAGCCCAGCACACAAAACATCAGGGAACAGTATGTTGTTTCTATCTGCAGCCTTGGCAACCAACCATCTACCAAGATATATCCAGTTACCACAGAATTCAGTTTTAATATCATAAAAGTCATTCCATGGCAATTTGTTACAGGTCCGTAATAGATCACAGACTTGTGACTCATTAAAACAAGCTAGTATCTAGACTGTTGAAAGCTCAAGCAGCCCACCCAGGAGCGGAGTAAGGCCAGAACCATGTAGGGAGCCCATTGGGAGGAGAGCACCATCCCCCAGCCAATCACCCCTTTCATGGACTTACTAGGAGTCCTCACATCACCCGACCATCAACACTACCGTTACATGGATGGCAAAAGTGGCAGACAGAAGCAGGGAAGAAGCAGAGCGGGAGGGGGGCCAAGTTGCTGCACCATGGGCCTCTGGGTTGTACTTGCCCCCCGGGCTAAAATTTGCCAGTCAGCCCCTGCCACCCACTGCTATGCAGAAGAAATGTATACGAAAGGACATGGTTGAGCATCCTTGGTCCCAAGGTGTACAACCAACTGGAATAAATATGGATTTGCAGGTGCAGAAGACCCTTAAATACCGTCTTATTAAAGCCCAACTCTGAGCTATTCTCTCCCCACAAGAACATTCCCCAGACTTGAATGATGACACCCAGCGCCACGCAACCCAGAAGACTAAAAATATAATGTGAGTATAGGAAGTCATGGGCCCGCCACCCAAGGGGGCCTCACCATGGTCACTGTGCAATGGTGCAGAGAGCGGCGCTGACGTCATCACACCAATGTTACCCTGCGCATCATTGAGGGTAAAGATTGAAGGTAAAGGGGAACTCAGCACATCACATGACTGGCCACAAGACTTTGGATAAGGGAAGTATGGAAACATTGCATCAACGAACACTGTGGGACCTTCGGGAGGGGCTCAGGGGAATCTCTGGATGGTAAGTAGCTGAGCCTGGAGTTGGCCTTTAAAAGAGAAGTAAAGTCAGACTTTTTTTTTGGCTTTACTACTCATTTGGGTCAGAAGATTTAATTTACTAATGTACTCCTGTGACCCAAAGTCAGCACTAATGCTCGGTATATGCTGCAGCGCAGAGCAGCGCCGCAGCCGGGAAGGATCCGAACAATATTGTCATGGTCCACCACGCTACATGATTGACAGCTGGCACTGCCTCTCTAGATCCAGAGCCAACTGTGCCCGTCCCCTCCTCTGTATGCTTGGGCAAAGAGAGAGAGAGAGTCCTAGGACATCATTACCAATAATAATGCCCTAGGAGTTATTTCTTCCTCCCCCTATCCATCCCATAATAACTCTTCAAATGCTTTGGGAAAGAGAGAGAGAGAGAGAGAGAGAGAGAGAGAGAGAGTCCTAGGGCAGTTTTAGGGGTAATAATGCCCTAGGACTCTCTCTCTCTCTTTGCCAAAGCATTTGAAGAGTTTCATGGGATGGATGAGGGAGGAAGGAATAGGTCCTACGGCATTATTAGGGGTAATAATGCCCTAGGACTCTCCCTCTTTGCCAAAACATGAGGAAGGGGTTATTATGAGATGAATGGGGGACAAGAAGGAATAGGTCCTAGGCCATTATTATGGGTAATAATGCTCTAGCACTCTCCCTCTTTGCCAAAGCACTTGAGGACATACTATGGAATGGATAGGGAGAGGAAGAAATAACTCCTAGGGCATTATTAGGGGTAATAATGCCCTAGGACTCTCTCTCTCTCTCTCTCTCTCTCTCTCTCTCTCTCTCTCTCTCTCCCCCAG